GAGCACATTTTGAGGATCAGTTTTAATATTTTTTATATTACTAGGATCCACTTGGATTATATACCAACGGATTTTTTTATCTGATATATATATATATATATATATATATATATATATATATATATATATTGAATAAATTACAAACATTATGTCTGCTTATTTTTATCATAATTCTTTCATATTCACGAATATTTTTCCGTATATTACGATTAAAAATATTCTTGAATATGAAAGGATCACAATAAAAATAAGTAGACATAATGTTTCTAATTTATTCAGTCAGTCATATCTAGAAGAGAACTTGTTGACTAAGTATACACATACACACAAACACACACACATACATATATATGATAAAAATATAGTTTAAATTATGCTATATTTACCTGGTAAAATTGCTGAATATCAGGGATAGAGCCTATGTAAATATATGTGGACATTGGGGTCAACTCCGAATGGCTACTGTTTCATGCTTGAACACAATCTTCAGACCTGAAGACTGCGTTCAGGCAGGAAACAGACCGTTAGCTCTCGATGTTACCCCCCCCCCCCCGTGTCCAGGTTTATATTTTTATGTCTACATACGCTCTATCGCTGATATTGAGAATTTTACCCATGCACACATCACAACCAAGCATCTCAAAATGATAACCTTACCTTTATATGACCTTCTCACTAACCGTGAAGAAACACTTACAGTATTAGCACAACTTATACAACTGTTACTTGTTTTAATTAGAAGTGAGGTAAGGTTTCATTACCAGGACATGTTTTGGAAAAGAGTTTTAGTACATTACATGATGCATTTACTGAAAATTGATGTAGTTGTTTTTCAGTGAGCAACATCTTCAAATACAATAAATTAATAGTTGCAAAGAAATCTATTGGTATCAGTTAACACTGGTACATATAATAGGCAAACACCCCCCCTAGAAATATGGTACTTGTTGGTAAATATAGTCCCATAGCATACATGTAGAAAAGCAAGTTCCAATACTTGTATATCAACAAAAACACACACAAAGCAGCAATAGACCAATCAAAGTAAATATTTTTGTAAAATCTCGCATTTCTGCAAAGCAAACAGTAAAATATTGTACAATTCCAGAAAATTCTTAATTTCTTTTTCTTGGGTGAATTTTTCAGGCATATTTTTTTATTGATATGACTTTCACTTTCAGGAATCCTAGTTTCAGAGCTAAGCTCTATGTGTACATTGATTCCTGGTGAATCCCAATTTTTTCGGGGTCTCCATGTCCCTCTCTTGGCATCTCGGTTTCATTCACTTTACCATTACTGTCATGTAGCTTCTCCGTGGTTTTTCTATAAATATTCTATGGTAATTGTTCTGATGAGCATTACCCCGGTTTTAAGCGCAGTACTATATTAATAGCTATATATCATCATGTTACAGCTGAATAGCTAGATGTAACCGTAAGTTCTATGCTAACAGTTTCTTCTCTCGCACTTCTTGCTAGTGAAACTTACTTCCATCTTTCAATTTAGTAAACAATTTTTTCTTAATTCTTGTTGTTTCTCAATAGTGTTTTTCTTTTTCTCTCATTCTTCCATACCCAATAAAACGTTGCGTCTTAGTAGCTTTATTGCCTTGCTTTGAGTGAAATGATTAAAACAAATTATCTCGGAGTTTTTACATTTCTCTTTTTCTTTTAATACTTTTATAGGTACTATTATTATTATTATCTTATAATAATTGTGCTTTCTCCTCCCTTCATTAGTTCGTGCGATCGCTACGCCCTGTCAACACCTAATAAATGATCACCTGAAAAGACATATCAGTGAAAATGCTTGGTTTCACTGAAAAAAGAAAGAAAGAAAGAAAGAATGTAAGTAAGAAAGAAAGAAAGTTCGGCGTGTATAACGTCTTCTGACAATACCTCATAAATAATGGATTACTCCATTTTGATTTTGTGGAAAGACTTTTCAAAAACGCTACTTGGTTTCAGAAAGAAAGAAGGGACGATTGAAGTGTTTAACGTCTGTTTCAATGAAATTGAAAAAACTTGTCAATTTCATATCTTTCCATTTGTACCCCCTTCTTAAAAAAAACGACCTATTCCTATTTATGATTGCTATTGCAATATTTTGTTAAAGTTGTTAATCTCAAATATTTATATTTATTCAGAGTTTTTGCAGAACCTGTAGTTTTCCAAACTATCCATGGGTTTAAATTTTTGTCCATCAGATGTCAATTTTTTTAAAAAGCTGTTTTGTGTTTAGGTTGAGGGTTAGAGAGTGTGTGCATATGGGTATAAAATCATTGTTTCCACTACCCCACGGAAATTCCAATGTAAACTTTTTATTTTTCATATTTTCTTTGTGGGAAATGATCACTTGATATATAACCCTGGTAGCTTTGCATTTGCTCTCTACTGGACAATTATCTTTTGATCTACAACTACAAGAGAGTCCGATACCAGGTTTGTGGTCGATCCCATAGAAATTCCTTAAATTTAGTTGTTGTGTGAGTTAAAAATTCTTTAAATGTTGTTGGTACAAGAGTAGTTAATCTTAATCGTTTTCCTATTGAAAAGCTTACTTAGAAGCTTACAGTTTTGGAAATGCTTATTGGTTAACTTTAGAAAATACTGTCCTATGTTAATATTTGACAGTTTGGAGAAGGCGGGGTTGAACCATAGAGTTTTTCTTTTTCTGTGTCTACGTTTCATTTCAGATATCTTCGTTGTTAGGTAAGACAATTATATATATTGCTCTGTATAAATAAAATACATCGAGCATTTTTTGTGGATCAGTTCTAACATTTTACTAGGATCCACTTGGATTATATACCAGCGGATTTTTTTAATCTTACTATATATATATATATTTGGTTGGATTGATGTGAGTTTGTGACCCTGGGTTTCACGCTTTTGCGATCGTCAGACAAACTATTTATATATGGATAGAAATGTAAAAGAAAGACTGAGAACAGCCGTGTCTAAAAGGTATAGACAACAAAAAAGTGCTCAATACAAAATTCAAAATCGAATATGTAGAGCAAAGATATTTAAAAAAAAGTCTAAAATGCCAAATAACCTAGAAAACCGGGTTTCGACCCTGAAGTTTCTTTAGGCAAGTGGAATGGATCCATTCCACTTGCCTGAAAAATAACCTCACAGCCGAAACCCGGCCCAGGTTGGTTGCCATTTAGCCTTTTCTTATATATATATATATATATATATATATATATATATATAATTTTTATTTAAAAATATGATTCCAAATCGCGACATAAGAAGTCCCATGTTTCAAAACAAGAGCCGAAAACTTCAATATAATTATTTAAATTATTTAAATTAAATTGAGTTAAAATAAGCTCTGTTCCATCTTCAAGCGAAATTTTTTTTGGAATAACGTGTTTCTGAAATTTACGTGTTTTAAAAATTGAAATCAAAATTTCCATGGTAACAGCTAGGGCGAATTGTTAAAGTTGGGTAGGCGGGTGTTGGGTGTTAATAATAAGTATCAGTATAAAGTTACTTTCGTAGATGTCAAGTCAGTGAAAGGTGGGGGTGTCTAAATTTGAAACGGAAGATGTATTGACCCTCGTCTAGTTTGCATGTCTATGGAGATTTATTTATTTATTTTATTTTTTTTATTTTATTTTTATATATATATATATATTATATTTTTTTTATATATATATATATATATATATATATATATATATATATATATATAAACTCAAAGGTTATTTTTAGTGGATACCGGTAACTGAATAGAGGATACGTTTTATTTATTTGTTTAAACCGTATTTATTTCTTCTACTGGTTTGTGTACTCAAGAAAACTTATTAAATAAAATGTACTCATCGTCAGGATTCGAACCTGTGGCACGCATTACAGGAGGAACCACTGTCTGATCCGATGTGATTTGACCGCTCGGCTACGAAGAGCTTCAAAATCAGGTTTTCTCCTTTTCTTACCCGAAAAATAAACAAATCCATTTTCAAAGAATTAATGCATTTTATTTTTATTACTTCAAACATTATTTTTAGTGGATACACGTATTTGAGTAGACGCTCCGTTTCATCTTGAACAGTATTATATTTTGTCTCCGGCCCTGCACATTCGAGAAAAAGATATTAAAGAAAATGTGCTCTCCGGCAGGATTCGATCCTGCGTCGCACCACCTTTTACAGTAGGAGTACACAAGTTTGTAGACGAAATAAATACTGTTTAAAATAAACAGAACGTCTACTCAAATATGAGTATCCTTTAACAATAACGCCTGAAGTAATAAAAATATGATGGATAAAAAAAGTAAAATATATTAATTCTTTAGAAATATATATATTTCTAAAAATTAATATATTTTGCTTTAATCCATCATATTTATATATATATATATGTATATATATATTAGAATATATATATATATATATATATATATATAGAATATATATATTAGAATATATATATATTAGAATATATATATATATATATATATATATATATTAGAATATATATATATTTCTAAAGACTTAATAAATTTTATATATATATCTACACACACACACACACACACACACACACACATATATATATATATATATATATATATATATATGATATGTATGTGAATATAGAATAAATAAATAAATACATACAAATTTTAAAAATCCCAAGCCAAGAAAAAACAAAACAAAACAAAAACAAACAAACAAAACAAAACAAAACAGATTAGTATATAAGGTAGATATGTTGTTTCTTTTGCAATACATCAGCGTTCATTTTGAATCAAGAATGCAGTTCCTAATAGCAATGCCTGGAGCCATATTCAGGCGTTCTTCATGAAATTATTACAGTTGGAATTTGGTAACATCAAAAAGAGTTCACTCTCTTACCCCGACCATTCCTCAGACCGCTGCCTATTTGCGGTTTCCGCTCTCAGTCCGTCAGAGCTGGCCACCTGGAGTTAGCGGTCAGTAAGTTTCTTTTCGATGTATTATTATCTTTGCCGAGGGATGATTCAAACGACTACCGGTCAGCCGGAAGTGACGTAAAAGAGCGAATTTCATACAGGAAACCAATCAAGTACATTTGCTTGGAAAATGAAAGAAGCAGAAGGTACATTATATTTGGTCTGTATAAAGAGGGATTGGTATATTTTTTAGAAAGATAAGGGAGAGACGAAAGAAGGAAAAAAGGATTGTATGAAAGAATGAATGAGAAGAAAAAAATGAGTTGAAAAAAGAAAAGAAAATAGGAATATTGAATAAAATAAGACGAGGGAAAAGGTAGAATTAATAAAGATTTTACGGAAGAAAAAGAAGAAAGGAGAATAAAGAACAAAAGTGTGAAATGAAAGAGAAATTGTGAATGAAGATAGAATGAAGGTAAGAAAAGAAAATGGAGCGAAAGAATTTGCGTTAAATATATATGAATGAAAGAGAAAATGTTTGAGCAACAGAAGAAGAAAAATGAAAGAGAAGAAAAGACAAAGAATAAACAAATAAAAAGAAAGACAAAAACGAAAGAGTGAAAAGCCAAAGAACAAACAAAAAGAAACGAAGAATGAAAATGGAAGAAAGAAAAACAAAAAGAAAGGAAGAAATTCGGAAAAGGAAGAAAATCAAAAGTGAGTAAGCAAAAGAACAGTTTTAGAAGAAAAAAGAAACTAAAAAGGAAAATGGAAGAAAGATAAAAAGAAAAAGAAAGAAGAAATGAAGAGAAATAATAATAATAATATAAAAAGAAAAATGAAAGAGAGAAAGAACAAAAAGGGAAAGGAGAAGAAAGAATGAAAGTCGGAAAGACGGTAACAAGGCAAGAAAAATTGAAAATAAAATAAAAACGAATAATGAAAGAAACGGATTGAAAGAAAAAAAAAGATTAATATAAAATGAATAAAACTGTAAGAAAGAAAAAGAAAGAATGAACGGAAAGTAAAGCATTGAACATGAAAATAAAATAAAATCCAAATCGAAATAAAAAAAAAGGAATAAAATAAAAATAAGAATAACAAATGTATGGAATAAAGTTCGAATAAATACAAAACTGCTGGTAGGTAAAAGTCAAATAAGAATTTCGTGAAAGAAAGAACTCAAAGAGGGGAAGAAAAGACGATTAGAGAATAACTGAATGAGGACGAAACAAAAATCTTAGACAGATATTTTGAGGATGCAAGCAGAGCAAGAACGCCTAAAAGAAAAAAAAAGTCATAAAAAGAGAGGAATGAATAGACAGATAGTAAGTAAACAAATATACGTCTAAAAAAGTAAGCAAAAAAAAAATGTAACACTGAATTAAAAAAAATATCCCGAAGAAATACGAAAATAAAGATACACACGCAAATAGCAAAGCAACAACTGTCAGGTGAATAGATCGACAGGTAAATTTAAGCTAAAAAGACTGAAATAAAATAGGGTTTGACAAAAAAACAAAAAAAACCCACGAAACATATATATATAGGAAGAAAGATGAAACGAAACGCAAAGAAAGGAACTTAACTAACAGAGAGAGAGAGAGAGAGAGAGAGAGAGGAGAGGGGGTGAAAACACTGAGAAGCAAATATAATAACAACGATGACTGCAATTGTCAGAGTAAACAAACAGACGATAAAGCCGACTTGGGCGATTAAAATCCTTGCTTCGAAGCAACAAACGAGATCGGCTTTGTATCTGATTGATTCAAGTGGTGACGCGGACGAGATCTTGTTCGACCAGTTTGAGGTGTGCACACGAGGCATGGCCGCTGTGCGTACATACAACAGCGAATACGCATGCGCAGATATTACACGTTATTTACACACTAAGATTTGGATAACGATGTATGTACTTAACACATTCATTAATAAACCCCCGCGAATGAATATAGGTATGTGTATATGTGTGGCTCTACGAATATGTGCGCGTTTGCGCATGTGCATGAATTCTATCGCCTACAAGATTGTGTATGAGAGGAAATAGTTTTAAACACACACACATACACACACACACACACACACACACACACACACACATTTATATATATATATATATACAGATTCCAACTTTTGACGAAATGCAATATTTGGCAAGAAAACGGCTTAACTAAAAATTGCCCAATACGAATTTCAAAAACCGAAAATGTAAGACAATGTAATACATAAAATAATTAAAGCACCCACATTTACGCTACAATTGTTTCTACTAGTGTGACATCATCAGGCAGTATATATATATATATATATATATATATATATATATATATATATTCTTTTATTCAAACAAATATATATATATATGTGTGTGTGTGTGTGTGTGTGTACGAGCAAGCGTTCGTTTACAAATGCATATATATATATATATATATATATATATATATATATATATATATACCTATAATGTGAAGAAAATATATATATATATATACCTATAATGTGCTGAAAAAACAAACAAAAATCCTAATATGCGATTATGCTGTTTTAATGTTTAATGTCAACGTCGGACGTTTCGGTCTAATAGACCATCTTCAGGACATATTCATAAAACATAATTAACATAGACCATATACAATTCAACATGAAAAAGACGATGGACATAAAAGCAAGACCAATCCAAACAGATAACTGAAATCTTTTATAAGATCAGCGTTCCGTTTAAATATGATCACGTCGTCGTCACGTGGGCGACGCTGTGAAAACGTATTCCTAAAATTTGAGTATTTTGAATGAAAAACGAAAAGAATTTTATTTTGATCTAAAACTTATATGTACGTTTGTCGAGCATTAATCTTGCTAGAAAAGGGGAAATACTAAAGAAACCAGGTGTAGTGTTCACCGTGCGTGAGATAGATATTATGCCTGCTTCATAAATCCGCCTAAGATTTTTATTATGAAAATATTTTAAAATCTTCACAGAATCAGAATCGAAATTATGATCATTTTTTTTTTTCAGTATATTTTCTTCATACTGTCGGATCTATATCCATATATTTGCTTACATACTCTATAGTATAAGAAAAAAAGAGCTCAGTGTTAAATAACAGAGCTATTAATATATTAAAAATATACATAATACTCTACGTTGATTACACAACTTGGAGTTTCATGCTGTTTGCAATCTTCTGGTTCAATTTTTGGGGAGTGACACCATTTGTTTAATATTTCTGGTTATCCTGAGATTTTATTATTAAGGAGGATTATTATTGTTGTTAATTATTTAAAGGGATTGTAGTTTAATTTTGGATTTGAATTTAGGCCCACATTAACATTTAACATTGAAAATAAGGTTGCAAATAAGAATTATAAATTCTAATTTAAAAAGAAATGCTGCTTTGGTAAAGAAAAGTTTGGAGATCAAGGGGCGTAACTCTATTTTTTGTATGAAAATCAATAATGAAATTAATAAAAAATAAAATAAAAATGAAAACATAAATAAATATATAAAGATAATAATAATAAAAACAATGTATATTTGTAATATATATATATATATATATATATATATATATATATATATATATATATATATATATATATATATATAGTCGACTCTCCCGTCGGATTCGACGTATGAGGGTCAAGCAGATCAGTTTCAGGAAACCGACAGCCCAACACCGGCACATGAGATTTGATTATAGTGGTGAAGGCTTCGTGCAGGACCATCCACACTTTTTGAAGGGACGAATACAGAGACCTGGTGCACTAAGTGCCACAAGTTCCCCAAACGACCCTCCGCAGGTTTTGAATTCAGAGTTGTCCTTCTCCTAGACCATATATATATATATATATATATATATATATATATATATATATATATATATATATATATATATATGTTTTAAATAATATAGACATATATTTATTTATTGTATAATAATCCATTCTAGGTCTATAATTATCTTCATGATGTTAAGGTGAAAATCATCACAGAAGGCAACATATTTTTTGTTAATCTAAGTACTTTCGATCTCCTTCGAGATCATCCTCACGGGTGAATAGCGAAGACAAGCTAAAGGTAACTGTAATCGTTGTGATGATGATTTTTGTAAACACGCATGAACGCGCTCCGTTATAATTCTTGAGGCCCTTTATATCAAAAGCAACCAACCAACACTGAAAAAAAATTATTAAGATTGTACTAGCAATGTTTTAAAATGCATTTGAGTTGACTAACATTTAACACCATGTTGCGTTTCACCATCTCTGATTGTGTCCCTTGCATTGTGAACGCTTGTTTACAAAACATCGTAAACACAACAATTACTTTTAAAATAATTGTAGCAGAGTGCGTTTACGCATGTTTACAAAAATCACCATCACACACTTCCGCTTCCCAGAAACCAATAAAACTGTCAAAATTACCAAGGAAGCAATTCTGAGATTCAGACTACTAGCTTCTATCTTAAAAACAATTTGAAAGAAGCCGTTTAACTAATACAAGGACTGACCCAAATTAACGATAAAAAAAAAACAAACAAAAAACAAATGAAAACAACAAATAAAGTTCACTTTCTGCAGAGACAGTCATTGACTCCTGCAGTTCACTGGTACTACCAAGCGGGGATTTTTCTCCTGATGATGGACAATGTTGGTCGAAACTAGTCAAGGAACCTAATTGAAGTAATCAAACAGAAAATATTAATATACAACCCAGTGTGTCTGGAAATTTTAAGTTTTTAATTTTTTAATATTTTTATTTTTTTAAACACACACACACACACACACACACACACACACACACACACACACACACACACATATATATATATATATATATATATAATAGTGTATTTGGGCAGCAATCACTCTTTTATACAAGTTTCGTTAAAAACAACTGAAGAGGTACAGCGGTTGAATATTTTATTTAATTTTTCTTGCGTCTGTGTCAAGTGCGCCCTATATTTTCAGCCTTGTGCCACATTTAAGCCACGCTTAATATATATATATATATATATATATATATATATATATATATATATATATATATATTAATGTATATTTGGACAGAAACCTTTCTTTTAAACATGTTTTGTTGAATATGACAGCCGAGGAAAATTTATTTAATTTTCATTTAGTTTTTCCAGAATTTTTCGTTAGGTGAGAGTAAAGGTGTGCACAAATTGTCCGAATGAAGAGACATTAACTCCCCAAAACAAACTACCTTTGAAAATGGCTAAAGAATATATATATATATATATATATATTCTTTAGCCATTTTTAATTTATCTCTTCCGAACACATAAAAATTAATGAAGGTATATACATATACTTTAATGTAAAATCTAACTAAACAAAATTTTTCAAAACATCCTGCAGCGTCTAACTTTTACACACATTACACAGCATCCAGAATGTTTTCTTCCACTTACTTGAATATTATTTGTTATTTTATTACACGTTACACCTATCTAACCAATAAGAAATAACCACACACAACATACGATTAATTAACCTCTGTTTGCTTTTTCTCATTTTTTTTAATAATTTCTGTCTTGATCTCTGACGAAGCTTTAATAAAGTGAAACATGTTAGATTAAGATCTGTTTCCTACTTGTTCTTTATCCTAACGGCTTAGGGGTAGAATCTCCGACTGACGCCAACTCAGCCGGGTTTCGATCCAAGCTAGAGACAACCGTACGTCGAGCCACATTGATGAGCTGTGATACAGCTAAACAGTCTGTCTGTGGATGACAATATATATATATATATATATATATATATATATATATATATATATATATATATATGGGTATTTGGTCAGACCGAGTCAGACCAGAGGACATATACTTTAAGAAAAGTTTCAATACACAATCCTAAAAATTGAATAGAGTGGATAATAATAATATTGTTAAAAGACTGAATAATTCACAGTTAACACGACCGGATTTCAACATTATTGTCTTATCAGGTGGTTTCTGGTAAATAATTATTTTGTAGCGCTATATTTTCCCGTTTATATAACCAAACTATAACGAAGAAAATGGCGACTTACCGCGTCAAACCAAGCAACAGCGCGTCGCGTGCACCCTACGACGGAAAATGTGTCGAAAAAGAAAAAGGCATGTATTCCGCATGACATGCTGAAGACGGAATATGTAAATTAAAAACAAGTCCTTCGAAAGAGTCGCTGTAAAAGTATTTTGATATGCAAAAATTGGGCGTCCTCTCCCAGTTGTCGACGAATGGAAAAATGCTTGGTCGATAAAAGCAGTTTGTGTTCTCGAATCGGGAAGAAGAAATTCGGACATTTTGCCTACCGCGTTTGTCGGAGAGTGGGTTATTTTTCTGACTGGTTACGGGCATTATGATTTGTGAGATAGTACCTGCGAATCGAGTTTTCGGCATTTCTTTCTGTCCCCGATATTCGAGTCTGAACTTAGTGATTTATTCTCTACGTTGTGAAAGTAATCTGCGACAAATATTTCCTTTGCAATCCCAAATTGCTTACACTAACCTAACGCCATAAAGTAAAATCCCCAAGAGGTAAGCGGTGAGGTAAGTGTAGGTAGAAGCGGAAGTGAAAAAAGAAAAAGAATTAACGTATACATCCTCATCCGGGTTCGTATTGGGTCAGACTGTGTTCATTAACGTGTCTTCATTTAGGCATCACTTCAGGCCGTTTGTTCAACAACTTGTCTCCATCCGGGTATGTAGCAATGGTCAGTTTTTCCTCTTGCCACAACTTACAAACACTACCGTTAAAGTTGCAAGACTTTACTCTTAAAATATTCCATCTAACACCGTAAGGTGTATTTTTAATCTTTTAGCAATGTTATATATATATATATATATATATATATATATATATATATGATATTGTATGGTGGACTCTCCCGTCGTATTCAACGTATGAGGGTCAAGCAGCTCAGTTCCTAGGAACCGACAGCCCAGACACCAGCGCATATGATTTGATTATAGTGGTGAAGGCTTTGTGCAGAACCATCCACACTTTTTGAAGGGACGAATACAGTGACCTGGTGCACTGCGTGCCACGAGATCCTCAAACGACACGCCGTAGGTTTTGAATTCAGAGTTGTCCTTCCCCTAGACCAGTTGCCATCCAAGGCTATAGAACCCAGTCTGTCCTGCTATTTAAACATAGAAGAGGATTTATACCTTTCCCAAGGGTATTAGCACGTGAATGTAATGGATTCGACTGGAATTCAAACTCAGCTCTAGGATTCCTCAATCCAATATCTCCAACGTGCTTCCTCATATATATATATATATATATATATATATATATATATATATCTTCAGGTCAACTGATTTCTTAACGCTTTATTTTTGTTAATCTCTCTATCTATTTCAGTCTGCACCTATGTATGTATTTATGTATATATCTATCTCACTTAGCGTGCATTTGTTATTTAAAAGTAAATAAATAAACGCAGGACGTGAAGTGTGATAGAAAGGGAGGAGGAGAAGAAGGAAGAGGAGGATAAAAGCAAGGGTATTAGAAATGTATCGGTGGGGGCGGTTAAATGAAATATACATACTTTCTTTTCATCCTGGTTCACACGAACTCAAAAGGAACTTTTTAGTGTGTATGCAACGAGTCATAATTTCCGATCTCTCATTCAAAAATTTTTGGGGGGCTCTGGAAATGTTATTATTGCTAACTTTACACGTTGACAAAGGTTGCAGATATTACTATAATTGTTGTAAGGTTTTGCTTTTTTTTAAAAAAAAGTTCCACTTTACAATCGGATCTTTGCTATTGTTTCCTTTTAATTTCCACAAATAGTTGGCTGGTTTGGCAGAATTCCTAAGACATTCTAGCTTGAATGATGATTTATGTTAATATATATATATATATATATATATGGTGGGGCGAGAGTGTGCCGCATATCTTAAAAAGGAAGGTAGGCAGTTAGGTACAACTGTATTAGAATAGTCTGCTAGTCGTTGTATGTTTTTCAGCTGTGACTGTGTTCGATCCCTGGTAGACGACTTGTTTTAGAGTGTTGATTTTTTCAAATCAGATACATTATCGACCCTCACATTTGTCCTTGTGATTCTAAACATAGTCAATATCTATGAAACCGAGTTGAATGTTACACAGGAAAACCTGAAAATGCCAAATCTAGATGTCCAGTCATTTTTTTCTGTTATTTTTGAAACCTGGAAATATTCTTGTCTCGGGAAGCATAAAAAAAAAACTAAAAACAGTTATGATATTGACAAGTGCCAAAGAGGCATGATCTTAAGGAATCCAGTTTAAGAGGCGGGTTGTGGAGTCACAGTCTGGTTCGTGGAATCGGGTTAAAAAGGTTTTGTGTGTCCGACTTCACGCCTTGTCCAAGAGTCTTTTTATTGTTTTTGTTTTAATAACCTGGGCACCTTATCCTGTAGTTCCATGAGACTACGTCATTTTCTGAAAGTCAAGAACATATCGTCTTTCTTAATATGGACACATGACAAAGTTTTTATTTGCGTCGTCAACACTACCACCACACAATCGCCTCCCCAATTCAGTCATTACCGGCCAGACTCGCACAATTGTCCACGAACGATCGACGTTTCACGCGAACTTGTCGTATGATCGTGACAATTTAGCGAGAGGGAAGAAAAGGGCGGGAAAAATGACCACTTAGATGGCTCCGGACATGTTTTTAGCACTACACCTTGTCTCTCCAGGAATGGCGGTAATTTTTTGTTTGTTTATTTTGCTTTATGTTAGGTGATATTTGTTTTAAGTGTTGTTTTTTTTTAAATGTTGTCTTTTTCTGTCATAAAAATACGAAATATCTTCCACTATATTAAACAGATAATAGCCAGTTCAACAAGGTCGACAATACAACGGAAGTTCAAACTTGCAGAATTACTGTGATTGCGTCTGCGCAAGGATATCTATCTATCTATCTATCTATCTATCTATCTATCTATCTATCTATCTCTTCATTATCTATCTATCTATCTATCTATCTATCTATCTATCTATCTATCTATCTATCTATCTATCTCAGTCTGCACCTTTGTATGTATGTATGTATGTATGTATGTATCTATCTATCTATCTATCTATCTATCTATCTATCTATCTATCTCAGTCTGCACCGATGTATCTATCTATCTATCTATCTATCTATCTATCTATCTATCTATCTATCTCAGTCTGCACCTATGTATGTATGTATGTATGTATGTATGTATGTATGTATGTATCTATCTATCTATCTCAGTCTGCACTATCTATCTATCTATCTATCTATCTATCTATCTATCTATCTATCTCAATCTCTTCATTATCTATCTATCTATCTATCTATCTATCTATCTATCTATCTCAGTCTGCACCTTTAGATCTATCTATCTATCTATCTATCTATCTATCTATCTATCTATCTCAGTCTGCACCTATGTATGTATGTATGTATGTATCTATCTATCTATCTATCTATCTATCTATCACAGTCTGTTCATATTCTCTTTCTCTCTGTCTTTCTCACCACCCCTATCTCCCTCTCTCTCTCTCTCAGTGTTCATATTCTCTCTTCCCCTCTCAATCTATCTCACCCTGTTCGTATTCTCTCCCTCTCTTTCTCTCTCTCTTTTTCTCACACTGTTCATGTTCTCTCTTCTCTCTCTCTCTTCTCAACATCTCTCATTCACCCTGTTCATATTCTATATCTCTCAATCTGTCTCACTGTTCGTATTCTATCTATCTATCTATCTATCTATCTATCTATCTATCTATCTATCTATCTATCCCATTCTTTTAATATCTATCTATCTATCTATCTATCTATCTATCTATCTATCTATCTATCTCATTCTTTTCATATCTATCCATCTATCTCATTCTTGTCATATCTATCTATCTATCTATCTATCTATCTATCTATCTATCTATCTATCTATCTATCTCATTCTTTTTAATATCTATCTATCTATCTATCTATCTATCTATCTATCTATCTATCTATCTATCAACGTATGTGATGTGCTTGGGTTTTATGTGGCAAAGTTGAAACGGAGTAATTGATAATTGTTATCAAAATAATCGAAATAGAAATAAAACTAATTATTAAAACAAATCAATCCCATTAATTAACACCGATTAATTAATGTCTCCCTTCTCTAAATGCTGAGATTAATTTCAAGTTGAGCAAACGACACACATTTCATTTTAAAATTTGGGCTTAGGATAAAGTAAACTGAAAAGCAGAAAAATTAGAGTTAGTTGCCAAATAACGTCTAGTCCCACTGTTCGTTTGAATAACGGTAGCTACATGGCATTAGGAAAGAGTATACTTATAGCCGGACTGTTTGCTTGGATATTCCGTCTGTCAATTAAACAAGCTCCTTAGGGAGGTGATGCTTTGCTTTCCTCTGTCTCTCTTGTCTTCAACACGCCCCGTCAGGGTCAGATTCTTCCAGCCCTCGTCCGTCATTATGTACCGAAAAAAAGTCAGTTGTCTTTTTCTGAATTTAAGAATATGTATCCTTTGTGTTTCCAATTCCCCCAAAACTTCCTCGTTAATCACTTGTTCAGTCCATGATATTCTCAACATCCTTCTGTAGAACCGGATTTCTGTTGCATATCTATCTATCTATCTATCTATCTATCTATCTATCTATCGCAGTCTGTTTTTATCTATCTATCTATCTATCTCAGTCTGTTTCTATCTATCTATCTATCTATCTATCTATCTATCTATCTATCTATCTATCTATCTATCGCAGTCTGTTTTTATCTATCTATCTATCTATCTATCTATCTATCTATCTATCTATCTCTAAAGGTCGTTTTTATAATGCTCATTTATACTGTACACTATTACCTCCCCTCAAGTTCTAGAGAAAAAGTCTATTCACTGATAAATTTGGCAATAAGAATTTATTAAAAGTTTTTCAATCATTCTCCATTCCTTGTAAAATATCCGATCTTCTAATATTGGTTCCTTCCAGACTATTAAAACTACTTAGTCTTCTTACCATTCTTTCTCAGCATGAAACAGTATTTGTGATAACCAATTAATCTATCCACATCAATTTTTTTCATGACCATAGTGGATTTTAATTCCAGTTATTTTCTCACAAATCTTTGGCAATTTCGATCATATTGAAAACTCATTATTTTATGGAGAGTTTCCATTTTTAAATGTTAAATAATAAAAAAAAAGCTGTCGTGTCAGTTTCCATAAAATTATATTATGAAATTGAACACAGTCTTTATTTTGACAGTTCTAAAAACAAATCATCAATATTGTTTCTCGCCAGAGGACATTGCGAGTGTCAGCGGAGGATTCCGGAGACTGACGAAGCTGGATTTTCGCGCGCTTTTACACGGTGTGAACGCGCCATTGCTCATCGCCTGCAGTCATTTCCGGTAAGTCAGCGAACGGGAAAGGAAATTATAGAATTAGCCGCCATTTTAGTTTTATTAGGACAGCTAATTAACTGCGTGCTCCGGTAACAATTAGATTTGAAAGCGAGAGATTTCGGAAATACTGACACGTTTCACACAACAGAAATCTGTCTAACACATCGCCAAGGGACCAGTGTTACGAATCAAAGAAAAAAAAAGTAAAAATGCATCAAACAAACAAAAAAGGAAAAAAAAAACAAAAACAAACAAACACCTTAAAATTTTATTACGAACAGTGTAAGGGAAAATAAAAGACGATATTTATGTAGAGAAGGTTTGAATGTACAATAAATTTGTCGCCAGTGAATGATTTATTTAATAGCTTTTAATTTTATGGAATAGTTTTTTAAAAATTCTTATTATTTTTATTTTTTTTTTCCTCAAGGGGAATTTTTCTAATTGTTTTTTATTATTTACCATTATTGTTCAGTTTTTTTTATTTTTAATTAGTTTTTGTTTTAAATTTGTAATAAAAGTTTTTTTATTTGTAATTATTTTTCTGTTTACAATCAGGATTATGACCAGGAATCTTTTAACTCATTAGGGTCGTAGGGGCCTCACACATACAACATGCCGAGTGGGTGTGCGTTCTTCTAGATTGATTACCTTAACAAGGTTAAAGAACCCATTGTGTCATATTATTTTTTAGGGTTTGGAGTTGTCATTCTCCTGGAACCGACGTACCGCGGCTCACTAGTGTGCCACGCGATCCTCTTTAGTGAGCCACGAAATATTGTCATGGCATACATATATATGTGTGCGTGGAAGTATTGTTGGAACAACGTTAGTATTTGAATAAATTAATAAAGATTAAACTTATTTTAAAAATAATTCTTTACACTATTCTTCGATTATGTTATTTTAAATACTTTGTTTTAATATTCCTTTTTTAAAATACACTTTACAAAATTTGCTAAGTGTGCCGCGATATTTTCATTTAGGTGTGCCGTTGCTTAAAATGATTGAGAAACACTGTCCTAGATAGTTAGTCTATACAGCACCGTCTGTTCTATTCTATATGGGCGTTGGAATTCAGAGTTTTCCTTCTAGATTGGCTGACTTAACAAAACTAAAGATCCCAGTCTTGCCTAATATTACGAATGTTGAAAGTTCTTCTCCGAGATTGGTTGCCTTACAAAAGATAAATACATGTCTATCTTATTATATACAGGAGTTTGAATTCAGAAATTTCCTTCTCCTACTCTAGTTGCCTTACCAAGCCTACAGAGCCTAGTCTACCCTATTATATACAAGGATTTGAATTCAGAATTGTCCCCTTGATTTAATCATGTTGCCTTAAGACCACTAAAGCGTACAGTAGTCCTATGATATATAGTGTTATGGGACCGTACCCATAATAACATAATGGACTATTCCATACGTAATAAATACTGCGCCTCAAGAGGAAGCAGGGAGTTCAGACCGAAGTCGGGCGACCGGCTGATCGGTTGAACTCTTTACCTTCGGGCGGGAAGGAACCCGAACGAGGCTACGCCGAAGGGCGGAGTCTTTTTCGGGGAGGTAAACCGACCCTGAACCCGTTTATACGGGTTCAAAGGGCATATTTTTGGCCGAGCACACGGGCTCGGAGATCCCACATCAAACCGGCCTTGTGCCACATGATGCCCTTGTGGGGGTGTGACTAAATACTGTTCAGTCTGAAGTCTGGAGTGAAGTCCGTCAGGAGTCTGTCAGTTAAAGCGAGCGAGTCAGTCAGTCGAGTCAAGAGTCGAGTCAGAGGCAGTCTGAAACAGAGTTGCGTTCAGACAATTACTACAAGACATTGGAATAGTGATACTGGTCGAGACTACATTGTTCTCCCTACTAAACCCGATTGTTCGTACTAACACTTTCTACTTCTCTGTATATATTCGTGTTTGTAATATATCTGTTATTCCATATCCGTATTCGAGTTCTTCTTTATTGGTTCTACCTTGGACCATCACCGTGGTACAAGGAACCGGACTATAACAGATATATAGGGGGTTTTGAAGTTGTCCTTCTAAATTAGTTATCAAACTAAATATCTCTAGTCTGCCTTTTATAGACGGGGTTTTCCCTCTTCTAGATTGAATAACTTAACAAAGCTAAAGATTCCAGATTGGCTTTTTATTACGAGTAATTTGAGTTCTCCTTTTCCAAGATTGGTTGCCCTATTACGGTTAAATATAAAAGTATATCTAATCAATCCTGACTCGGCATTTCAACTTCTGTTACTTTTTCACCGATGTCTTTTCTACAAATATTTTCATGTCAACTGCTTTGATGATCTTTTTTCCCTAGTGCCCGGACTACATGAATCTAAGCGTGCTACTAGATTGGCACATAGGTCCCACTCGTTTACTCTTGAAATAGTTAAATGCAACCGATATTTCTATTCGAACAGTTTCTTTTCTTGCTCTTCCCGCCTTTCGAACTTCCTTCCGTTTACTTGCTTCCCTGATAATTACAATCTTAAAAAATTTAAATGCAGCATCAATCTCCCTCTTCTCTCTCCTTGAATCCCGTTCATCTTTTATCCTTTCCTCAATCCTCCGTGTTTTCAGTTTTCTCTTTCACTTTCATTCCCTGTAACCCCTTGCAGACATGTGGAATTCCCGTCTGGTTTGCAGTAAAATGATAAAAAAACAAAAAACAAAGCCAAACAAAATTAGAGTTTTTCTTTTCCTAAACTCCCTTGTCCTATAATTTAAGTGGAGAAAGATGTGTTTATGCCTTTCCAAGACTATTAGTGCGAATTGAACGAAACAAACTCGCCGGTTTTACTTTCAACACTGACAACCGCTATGACGTTGATTTTTCACTTTATTTAGAAAATCGACCTTACGCTCAGTGTCAAAGCTGAGGTCTGATATGATAAGTACTGCCATATGTCCAGAAATACATCATTTATGCAGGTTTTTGTTTACAAACTGGCTTCAAATTCGATTGTTACGATTTCAAGAATAAAATTGAATTGAAAATATATTCCAATCAGAATTCTAATTATTAATCTCCACAAGCAAAATATACAACTTTTTTTACTGTATTCCATAAGTAAAACTGTGTAAAAAAAATTGAAAAAAGTTACAAAAAAGGCTACTCAATGAATAAGATTTATTTGATCATTTGTTAGATCATAATTAATGAAAACAAAAACAAAAAAAAATAGATAAAAGTGCATATAACATCATAATACTGCTGGGCACAATATATATATATATATATATATGTGTGTGTGTGTGTGTGTGTCGGGGCCATTAAAACATTAAAAGAACAGATACCGACAACTAATTCATCATTTCTAGGACCAATCTTAAAAATGAGGACAATAGCCCGAATAATGTAAATAGTATATATAATACCTCATCTCAGAAATATAGACAGATACGGAAAAACCGAAACGTTGTGATAAATATGGCGACAAAGATGAGGACAATATTTCGAATAATGTAAATAGTGTATATAATACCTCATCTCAGAAATATAGACAGATATAAAACAACTAATGTTCCAATCTATTTAGATATCAGTATCAAAAGTTCCGAAAAATCCGACAACATGGTTACTGGAAGAAACAAACAAGTGTCCTAAATGTAAATAAAACTGGTGGGTATCAGAAAGATTGAGTTGAAATTTCTAGGACACAAAATGAGGAAAGAAGGCTTAGAAAATTCGATACTCACAGGACATATTAAAGGAAAGAGGTACAGAAGAGAACAGTGAATAACCTACCTAACGAGCATGTGTTAATGGTTGGCAGAACACGGATTAGACTGATTCGTTTTCTAAGGCTTATCAGCACATTACAGGTTATTTAAAGCCAGAAAATATTTTTAGATTGTAAGAATTTTTTCTTGGAGATGATAATGGTTCAGTGAGACAAGTCTTACTATTTAACCCTTAGCTGTGGAAAAAGAGATTGATTCATGTCTTTCCCCAAGGGTATTTGAGCATAAGTGAATATAACGAACCCAACCGGAATTGGAACTCGGCTCTCCGATTAACAATGCCGAGCTATTATTCTTTAAACCATTCGCACATCTAAGCTTACAGCACCTGGTATTCGTAAGCGGTCACCCATCTAGGTACTGACCAGGATCTATGTTGCTTAACAGGGATTATTAGAGACAGCGAAAAGATAAAATATAGTAAGATCTACAAAGGACAGGAAATTGTGGAGATCCATAATCGCCTACGTCCTGAAGGGACACACCACATAGAAGAGGATTATTAACTGAATCACCTAAAATTGGACAGTGGAATAAGAATAATAAACCCCTTAAATGATTCCGTTACTGTGCCGAGGTGGAAAGTGACAATAGCAGTGCAAAACAATGCATCGGTTGCAATGAGGGCCAGTTTAAGAAGAGGTGGTATAATCATACCTCATCTTTTAGAATTCTAGAACGCAAGTTCAGTACGAAGCTAGCAAACAACTATTGGATCTTTAGGGACAAGCATAACAGAAGCCTGGCCATTAAATGGAGTATTTTACGAAATGTAAAGGCTAGCAAAGTGAATAGCAACACGTGTAGGCTGTGTCAGGAGGAGATGCTAGCTATATCTACATACAAAGCTTGCACTGAGTCGTTGAACGGAAGATCTATGCTCATGGCCAAATGTAGATACGCCAGAATGTTAATTTTGCGGTTATACGAACCCAGGTAAAGTTGTAATAATTTTTTTTCACGAAAACTCCCCTCATCATTTCCGGTGTCGAATAAAGTCAATTAAACTGTTGAGATGCCCTCTGATTAATTCTCTAAACATGACGAGACCTCAGCGGTCGAAACCGCAGTAGTGTTCCGGTCAGCATTCTTATCTTTTACGATATTAAATCGCTCTGCAAGTGTGATTTTCCTACTTGAAACTGAGCACTTTTTAACCTGTACATTTGTAACAAACATTTCAGTGTTTGTTATTTATTCTGAGAGTATGTACATGTTTGTTATTTATTCTGGGTATATATATATATATATATATATATATATATATATATATATATATATATTATTCCAGGATCATTTTGAAAATTATTCAAGATGAGCTTCGCCCTCTCTAAACTTCTAACTTTCTGTCCTGGAGTAACAAGGTGTCTCGCACGTTTCAGGTACGATTCCTTTTTCCAGTCTTTTTTCACTGATCTTTGGACTGTCATAGCTGGAACACCTCTCTCATGTGCCAAACATCTTATGAATTGAGTTGGATCTTTTCTAATTGATCTCATTAGCTCTAAGTTGAAATGATCTCTCTTCTTGTTGTGACCTCCTGATCCACTTTTCTTCTCTGCTGTTTCGTCTTTTTAAATTTATTCACCGTTCTTTCGATGGTTCTAACATGGACTTTGAAGATGGAAGCCAGAGGATAAATGTTGGTACCATTACTGAAGGCCTAAATAATCTTTTTCCTCTCACCATTGCTCAAGTAGGAAGACATAGTGGGACTGACACAAAATGATTTTAATCCGTTCTCTTTGTAGCTGAATAACTTAAAGTGTTTTTCAGTGATTTATACGACAAATGGTATCAAGATGGCTAAACGTCTTATCTGAAAATAGGGAAGAAAGAAACTCAATTGGTTTAGTGGTTTTTTAATTATTAAACATTTTGTTGGACGGACAATTATGCTGTTACACCTGGTATACGTGGCATATTTGTGGTGAAAGTAACCTCAGGCAACTACTGTGAAAACAATAGTCTCCAAGAAAGCAAAAGTCAGGTATATTTTCAAATCTTCAACATTATTACAACTAAGGAAGGTGAAAGGAGCACTCTTCTTTTTAAGTACCATTTCCCTTTAAATTATGAGCGTTCATGGCTCTCCCCAACGTCTTTTTCCTTATAGCTCTAAGCAACGTTTAACAGTTCATCCTCTTTATTTGTCCACACTCTGCCATCTATTCCCTTAAACTCGTTATATATATATATTTAATTGTACATACGTTCACCTATCGCCCGGTTCACGTTCCTTTCCCATCACTTGAACAGGAGCAGAGATCAATCTATTGTATCATTTTTAGGCTTGGGATTCCGGGCCCTTCTCCTAAAACCTCCTTATTTTCTTTCACTCCCAGTAACTTCTTGCGTCTTAGTGGCATTATCGCCTGGTATGGGGTGAAATGATTAAAAAAATGTTATGCACTGTTTCCCTTAGATTTTTTTAGTTTTAATATGTTCCATATGTGTTAAGATCTCCAAGCCCTCTTTGCTTATTATGTGTTCTAGAAATTTCTTTCTGATTTTAATTATATGTGCCCTTTTAGTTCCCTTTTGACTTAAAACGTCTTCCTTGTTCATATGTTTAATCTATGACATTCCCAGCATCTTTCTGTAGAGCCATATTGTTGCTTCTAATGTCTTGGATGATACTCTATAATATCCTTTAAGCGGCGTGTTAAAATCTGTCTGGTTTGTATAAAAGGGGCTCATATTGGGCTAAGATATACCTTCAAAATGCTCGAGTACATCCTATCTTTGTTTATGTGACGTGTCGTTTTAGGGCATCGGTGATTATGGCTTTTCTCAATTTCCGTAGACTCTGCAGTTACACATTAAACTAATGATACAATTTTCTGAGAATAAATAAAAGAAAGCATTAAGTAAATCTTTCCTTGAAATAATTCGGCCGACCGCCATTTTACATGCGTTGGCGGATTGCCACAAAAAGTCAAGATGCGAATTATAAGTGTGTAGATTTACAAAACTGATATTCGGTTAATATGGACGAAAGGAAAAGTAGCACTTTCAGAAATCCCTGCTAATTCATATTAATTAACAACCGCAATTTCAGAAGCTATCTTATCCCGAGCTGCGTCGGGTGACCCTGCAATTAACAATTGTGTTTTTCGCCGGCCTTTTCGTCAAATCTGATAAAGTATCACTGGCAGACACGCACATACTTCGTCAACATGTGGCTTTTCTCGGTAAGTAATCTTTCGACCTGGCGGGAAAAGAAGAAGAAGAAGAAGAAGAAGAAGAAGAAGAAGAAGAAGAAGAAGAAGAAGAAGAATGTGCACACCATTATAGCACTTGCAGATTCACTATGGGTGTATTTCGTGGGCCGTTGTGATCAGGGAGGCAAGGAACTAGTGTAGGAAAAGAAAAAATCTCATTACTTACAGAGAGACGCAAATTTGAAAGCGTTCCACCTGCCTGTTGCCGGTCGTGGCTATTTTTATTTGGGCAAATGTCACCCTGTTTCTTTCTCTCAAGTTCTTCTTATTTCGCAAGCGATTTTTCAGTCTGTAATACACGTTTTCGGTAATTATCATTTCCCCTTTGACCTCTTCGTCTTTCTTCATCAATTTCAACTTGCTGATGGCGTTTCTGTATTTTTCCGTTTCTCTGTTATTTTCTCTTCCAAGAGGAAGTAGTGCCAAAGTTTCATCCCAACTCTTCTTCTTCCTCTAACGCCATCTTTTATTTTTTTTACCTTTTTTTCCCAGATTTCAGGTCGTTGTGGCTTTTGTCTATCTTCTTCTTTAGAATCTTGCTTTTCTTCTTTTTTTCTTTTCTTCTTCTTCTTCTTCTTTCTTCTTCTTCTTCTTTTTCAGACCTTTCTCTCTCTTTTTTACCTATCTTTTTTACTTCTTCGAATTCCTTTTTATTCTTTTTCTTTTTTCATTATCTTCTCATTGTTTTTTTTTTTCATTTTTCCTCTTCTGATTTTGGTACGTCTTTCTTCCTTTCTTCCTTCCTTCCTTTGTTTGTTTGTTTGTTTGTTTGTTTGTTTCTTTCTTTCTTTCTTCTTTCCTTCTTTCCTTTCTTTCTTTCTTTCTTTCTTATTCACGTCCTTTTGCTTTCTCTTTACTTTAATATCCAATTTTTTTTCTTTTCAAGATTCTTCAAGATTCTTTCTTTCTTTTTTATTCGCTTATCAAGATTCTTTCTTTCTTTCTTTCTTTCTTCTTTCCTTCCTTCCTTTCATTTTTTCTTTTTCTCTCTTTCTTTCTTTCTTTCTTCTTTCTTTCTTCTTCAGTATTAAGATTCTTTCTTTCTCTTTTATTCACATATAAATCTTCTTATTCACTTATCAAAATTCATTCTTACATATTTTCTTAGTGACTCATCAATATTCTTTCTTTCTTTCTTTCTTTCTTATTGACTTAGCAAGATGCTTTCTTTCGTTTTTCCTTTCTTTCTTATTAACAATATTCTTTTTCTTTCTTTATTTTCTTTCTTTCTTTCTTTCTTTCTTTCTTTCTTTCTTTCTTTCTTCATTAGTTTTAACAAATTTCTTTCTCTTCTTGTCTTAG